GTGGCCATTCAAGTAAGTACAGGGAAAGAAAATTTGGAGCTGGTGAGCAGGTAATCCGAAAGGTAAATGGGCTCGTTTTCAGTTTGTGCGGACTAGGTATGGGCCGGCTCGTAGCTCAGAAGGACCTCAACAGTGGGCCACACCAAAGAACAGGGCTCCAGACTCCACGAGAGAGGGCCCAAGGTCAGATATTCCTTCCCCTTGTCTGAGCGGCTCTGGCCCATTATTAGATCTTTAAATCCGCTTCCTTTGAGTCTTTTTTCCTTTTTCTTTTGCAAAGGAGCACAGGATGTATAAAATCCTCGTCAGCACGTGTACTAGAGGAAATTATGCTTTGGATTTTTTTTTATGTTTGGTAAAATATGACCATCTTTAATGCGGTGAAGCATCATATATCTATTTCACATGCAAACTGATAAATAAAGAGATGTATGCACACAGACTGTTGGGCCCACTAATTTGCTCTTTATCTGTTGATTGAGTACAATATGGAAATGCTTAGTTTACGGCAACAACAAGTTATCCAATAAACACAAACATGGTACACAAAAGAATTAAGTGCATTTCTCTGTTAAATAGTACTACAATCCTTTTTTTTCGAGATCGGGTTGTACCCGTACGTGTTTCATTAAGCAAGAAGCAAAGTTGGAGTTGTACGTTTTAACCAAGCAGGTACCTGGTACGGTCAGGATATCATGGTGAAGAGAACTGATTTCTAGAATGATGCTGCCTATTGGTGTGGTACCTGGTACGGTCAGGTCAGTTTTTTTAGTGTTACGGTCAGGTCAATTTTGGAGAGAGGGAAAAGAACGGATTGACTAGCCGCGCTCGGACGTCCAGACGCCCGAGGCCTACTCCATCCCGTCCACTTGGATTCGTGTGCCAGCTCCGTTTCCCATGCTCCCATCCGAACCGCCCGCTTCAGATCTGCTAGCCACGCAGCTTGGATGACTCGCCCCCGCCTCTTCCACAACAGCACCGCTTGCCCTATGCCTCCTCCCCACACTGCTGCCGATGGCCTGCGCCTCCTCCATGTGTTGGTGGCCGCGGCTTGGCCCTACCCATCCTCATGGACACCAACGCCGGCGGTCTGCACTTGCAACATGTAACACTCGAATGCAACATACATTTGAAACATTTGAGACATACGCTTGCAACATGTGTGTCAAACATATGCAACATCCAGATAAAACAATTGCAACATGAAAAACACTTACTGCAACATAAGACTGAAACGGTTGAAACATACTGTTGCAACATATGCAACATCCAGATAAAAAAATGATTGCAACATACGTCTGGAAACAGATGAAACATTTTGAACAAACGTTCGCAACATGCTTCTGAAATACTTATAACATATGTAACATGTGCAATATCCCCTGATCTACTTTTGCAACATCCATAAGAAATAACTGCAACATACCTTTGAAATGACTGAAACACCTGAAACATACATTTGCAACATAGAGGAGAGGAAGCCTGGGCCGGTCGATTCCAGCCGTCGAGGTCGGGAGCCAGCGGCGAGCGGTGGCGCACGAGCACCAGCACCACAAGTACCGGGCTTGGCTCAGCGGCGACGGTGGGGGATGGGGGCGAGGAGCGCCATGGCCGTCGGGGTGGGGGGAGCTCAGTCGCCGGGGAGAGAGAGGCCACCGCCGGGGGTGGGGAGGGCGGCGCGCCACCTCCATGGATCTTGTCGGAGACGAGTGGATCTTGCTCGTGCTCCGTGGATCTTGCCAGGGTAGAGGAGAGGGCCGTGGGATTTACGGGCGTTGGGGTCTCCCGGTGGGGGAGGACGCCCGGCGTTAGTGCGTTGCGGCAGGGGATGAGGAGCATGGAAGGGGAAAGGGCGGGAGTGGAGCGAGGCGTGTAGGAGTTGATTTTGTTTTATGCGAGCGGCGCATGTGACAGTGAGTGGAGCGAGGCGTCCGACCTTCCGGACGTCTTAATGGTAGCATTAACGGAAAAAAAACAAGGTATAACATTACAGACTGCATCTTGGATCGGAGTTGCTGAGCTGCTTATTGCATCGGTGTCCGACTGTCCGTCCGGCGGTCCTCGATCGTCGTCGTCTTCACTTACTGGACACATTGTATTTTGCATGCTGAGTAGTACAATACTTGCCGCCTGCACCCCGGCGGGGCCGGCCCGGCTCTTTTTTCAGAATGGTCCCGGCTAGTGGTGTGTGCAGGCAACAGAGATATGCGCACTTCACATGCAATACGCAACGCAAGCATGGTTACCTTTTTAAATTTTGGTCACAAAATACCATGTAAAGTGTGGTTTGGTGCCTGTATGTACTCCCTCGGTCTCTGAATATATTAGCTTTTTATGTAAAAAGGGCAAATATTTATGACAAAAAAATAGTGTATACTAGTTTGATATAACATGAAATGTATTTTCATACCTCACTTTTCTAGTGTCATATATATCAATACTCTTTTATAAATTGGTCGTCGAATTTAAAAAGATTTTACTTAGGGTAACTCTAGAAGTTTATTTGTTATTGAGTGCTGAGGTATATAGCAATGCAAGGTGAAGATAGGATGAACTGATGAAGGAAAAACAAAGGATGCATGCCATGGAACGAAAAGAGCGTCAAAAGTAACCTTGAAATATTGAAGGGGAAAAAAATGGTATCTTAGGCCGGCAACGGTCGAGGACATCAGCTGCTAGCACTCACCGGGGTCTGATTCTATTTGTTTGCATGCATCGGTCACACACGGCTTGCATGAGCAAGTGGTCACACAAGAAAAGTACCGCATCTATATTCGTAGTACATACGTACATGCATACATGATACATGTACAAGACAGGAAGGGTCGGACAACGACGGCACGGGTCGTGTGATGATGAGAAACTAAGTAGAGGCGAGGTGCAGGTAAGCAGGTTGAAACGACAAACAAACGACGAACGTCTGAACTCTGAAGAAGCGAAGGCGAAAGGCCATATCACAGCATGAGCATGGCGTCCGTACGTGGACAATGCAATGCAACGGCTGCATGCATTCTGCGCTTGTGCACCAGGGAGACGATCGCGAACGTAATAAGGCGTCTAGTAGATCTAATGTAAGTCCATGCCAGTTCTGGCCCAATCTAAAAAATCTCTATAAACCAACGTAGTAAAATAGTACCATATTAGTGTTTTTTGAAAGGGGATAAGACTACCCTTACTCCTTATAAAATAAGGGGTACATGGCCGATTGAGTATCTCAACTCACAATCATCAAGAAACACACCTACTGTCTCTTTTTACCCTCTTTTCTCATCTACCCTTTCTCCTTGTTCTTTGTCGGTGCTCCATGATTGCGGGGTTAACGATGACGACGCTCTAGAGCGGTTAGGCACACGCTCCCGACGAGACTCCTCTGGTGACTGGTGACGTGTCTTGCGTATCGTGCTCATTGCTGGAAAGCGATCTAGCTCCTTACCGGTGTGGTGATCCAATTCGACGTCACCACATTGAAATAAAACAGGTGGCCGGGCCGTTTCGTTTTGTATTTGTATGTGCAAGACACACCGCGCGCGCGCAAACACACACGCGTAACGTAACGCGTTATCGATCCGTAGCAGAGACACAAGACGGCGTCGCGACTCGCGAGTGATGGCTGCTTTTAGTTTGGGAGACGTTGGGTGCGCATGCATGACGCCGACGCGGGCACGCGGCGCGGTGGGTAGCAGTAGATGTGGACAGAGGCGGGCCGGCATGCAGGAGCGTCGTCTGAACGTACGTACGGCTGGGGCAGTGCCAGGGATACGTAGCGATATGCTGCTCGTCTTTGCTTTGCATTGCAATGCAATTGCCATCCCTGCCATGGACGATCAGATGCACCTCATCACGCTCATGAGCATCAGAGATGGACTGCCTTGCCTGCATGCGGTGATGCCATGGGTTTCGCTTTCGCGGCCGCGGCAGCTTGCCGGGCCTATTCCCGGAAACCGACCGACTCCGCATTGCCCTCCCTCTCCCAGTAGTGCGGTGCGCTGCCCCTGCATGCGTCCTGCCCCCATCCATTCCATCCCATCCGAATAAAAGCAACCTTGCAGCGCCTCCCTGCGCTGCCTATACGTCACTTTGACCGCCCGGACGGACGCGCCGATTCCATCCATCCACAAATACCAAAGGATACTACTCTCTCTACATGCGTTGTGTGTGTGTTAACACGCACACAAGGACTACAACTGCATTCTTACTTCATTTATTAGTTTCTACATGCCTCACAGCACTTGATGATAAGCGCATTACGCTCATTATTATACAAAACCGCTTTGCGCCTTTGCCATATTTTGGTTGGTTCCGTCCCCACCTTATGTACGTTGATCTCGATGGACGGCACTTCTCTGATGAAAAAGTTTACAAGGGAAGGTAGCAAGGTGCGTTTCATCAACTCGATCATATCCAAGGCTGCTGGCCCCTGCTCTCTGACCTCAGCTGGCGGCACCATGCATCACGGCAGCCGCGCGCGCCCTTGTGCAAATGCAAATGCTAGCTAGCTACACCACCGTCGTCCGATCTCGAGTGCAGTTGTTACAATACAACACACACTAGCGACAACGAAAGCAAAGATCGATCGATGCGATATGGAGCATCATCGTCGTGCTGCGGGCATTGCAGACTCGCAGTTGCATTACACGTCTTTGATCTTTCTACTACTAGAAAGTAGCAACTACAGCGATTGCATTCATTACCCTTCTCATGGAACAAATTTAAACACCACTGGAGAGATTAGATCAAAAGGCCAGGTAAATAGGGAATTAAGGTAGTAGCTAGTAAGTAGTACGTAGCACAAGAAGAACAAGCTAGGAACGTACTAACTGCCAGCCACATACTGATGTCTGATGGCAGACGTACAGCCCGTGGTTAATTTGATTGTATCCACAGCTCCCCCAACTACTACTAAAACCCATGGATCAAAGCTAGCAATCATGAGGCCGGTCGATCGGTCTGCATGGCGACGGAGACGCACACGTACAGCACGCCACGGCGGGCGACCACGATCAGAGCCAGAGCGCGCCGGCCTGCTTGAGGAGCGGGACGAGGGTGCCGTTGATGTGGCACGCCATCACCTTCTCGACGCCGCCCAGGAGGCGCCCGCCCACGAACACCACCGGCACGGGCGGCTGCCCGGGCGGGAGCAGCTGCGCCAGCGCCGCCTGGATCTCCCTCCCTCCGCCGGTTCCGGCCATCTGGTCGAGCTCGTAGACGGTGGGGCCGACGCCGAGGCCCAGGAGGAGGCGCTTGACGACGTGGCACATGCAGCAGCCGCTGGCGCTGAACACCACCACCGCGTTCCCGCTCGCCATCCGCGCCACCCGCTCGTACACCGCCAGCGAGTGGTGCGGGTGCGGGTGCGGGTGCGGGTGCGGCGCCGCGGGCACCATCATGGTCATGGCCTCCGTCTCGGTCGCCGCGTCCGCCACGACGCCGCCGCCGGCGCTCACACCCGACTCCGCCTGCACCTCCATCCGCAGCAGCATCTTCATGGACTGATGGATCGGAGCGAGGGTTGTTGGGGGGGGGTTCCGGCGGATGAGTTGTTGGCACGGCAAAGGCAAGGCAATAGGCAGTGGAGTCGAGGAAGACGGGGGTGGGGGTGTGCGCTTTTTATAGGCTGGCCGGCAATGGCATGGGAGGAGGTTGTGTGTTGTGTGCATGTGGTGTGGAGACGAGCGAGGGAGAGAGATGCTTGCCGTGCTGCCTGCGCGAGTACTAGTGCCTGGGACGTCGAGCGCGAGGAGGGTCTCGTACTACGGTAGCGGTTGCATGCCAGTAGTATGCAAAGGACGGACCCGACTTGATCGGCTGGGAGCCGCTGGCTCTCTCAGCAAAATACTGTTCACACGAACCAGCCAGTAATATTTTTCATTCACGTAAACAAATCAACAACGATATGAACTAGCCAACGTTGCAAAAGGCAGCAAGCAGCAGTGGTTTTTTCGCCACGCCAGGGCGGCCAGGCGGAGGTGGGATTGGAAGGCCGTTTGACCCACCGGGCCCCAGCTGCCGCCCTCCGCGACACCCAGCTCTGCCAGCCGGGACTGGGATCAGCCCAGCCCACGGTGGGGTGCGACCGTGACGGCGTATTCCCTCCGTGATTACGTCCGGCGTTCAACGTGATTCCCGGCGCCGGCCGCAGTCACCACACGTCACGTAACGTGCCTAACGGCTCCTCGTGACCAGCGAGGGGTATGGTAGGAGTAATCATGCTGTGACTCCATTCCATTACAGCCAACACGTACAAACGACAAAAACCCTGACCTACGGAATCGGATGGCGGCGCGAACCATCTCGCGGGGCAAGAGCCAAGAGGACATATCGATGCCAGCTTTGACGCCATTCCGCTTGTGCGCTTGTTGCAATAAACTAAGGGCCTGTCGTGGGATTTTTTTTCCCTCTGTTCCTGCGTTTTTTCTTGTCAAATTGAACGGATTGCTATAAAATCCCTGTGTGATTCCTGTAAAATTCTTGCGTTCCAAACAGGCCCTAAAGCGTTTTCCCCCACTCACCGCGAGTACAGTACACACATGCCATCGCATGCCAATACTAAGAGCTACCATCTCCATCTCCATCTCCATCTCCACCACCTCAATTACCAATACAGCTCCTCCAATAAAATGGTATTTATGAATTGCACCAATATTAATTTTTAAGATATTGAGTGAGAGAGTTGCCGTAGCAGATCACCAATATCTTATCCCTAATACATTCACTAACATGTAGAACCCACATGTTTGTGGAATTTTTTTCTCCTCACTCATTTATCTGCCTATTCCCCGCAACTTTCTCTGCCGCCGCTCTTCTCTTTGCATATTCGACTTCTGCACCTTCTCGCATCTTCCCCTACCTGCTCCTCCATGCATCTTCCGCGCCTCCATAGCCATATCTTCCTCTCTCTCTCTCATCTACAGGCACATATTGATGCCAGCTTGAGGAAGCCGAAAACGTCATGACCTCCTTCGCCCCTCGAGGAAGATGTAAAACATGGTGGCAATGGACGAGATGCGGAGCTCAAGCGCCTCCACCACCGCGCCTCACGCCTTCCCGCCGCCACTCCAACGTCGCACAGCTCCTCACTAGACCCATCCTATCCATCGCAAAGCTGCCCCTCCCCTTCCCGGCCCTGTTCCCATAGATGTTGCCCCATCCCGGAGGGCGGCATCTCATCGAAGGACACTGCGAGCAACGCAACTCCCTGGCGAGGCAAGGTCCACGTGCACGAGGGAAGAAAAGTCTAGCGGTTGGGATACGAGTGATCATATCCCTTGGGGAGTTGCATCTCCTCCTCTATACGAAGGGAGTTGTGGTGTTTTTTTTGTGGCCACCAATTAATAGGGATGGCCACTACGTGAAAAACAGTTTGTAGCAACGGGGCTTTTCTTAGGGGCGGCTAGCATTGGAGCAGCCCCTACAGTGGCGTGCTCGGGCTCCAACACAGCAGTCGCCTCTATAAATAGCATAGTAGGGGCAACTGGTAATACGAGCCGCCCCCACAAATACGTTGATTTGTAGGGGCAGCTGGTATGTAGAGGCGGCTATTACCAGCCGCCCCTGCTGTGTCCATTTGTAGGGGCGACTGAATCACCAGCCGCCCCTATAAATGCCCGCTGTATATATAGCAGCCACCTTTTTCCACCTCGGGCCACTCTCTCCAACCCGAGCAAAAAAGGTTGGGAGGCCTTGGGCTCCTCCCAAAAATTGCTCTACTAAGGGGGGAGGTTTTGATCTTAAATACTTTGGTGGAGAGGTTATACAAGGTAAGAAAATGCTATTCCAAGCCTTTATTTGAAGTTTTAATGGTTGGTTAGTGATCGTAATTAGAGTTTTGCTTTTCTCTCTCTTCTATGGTGCTTGAGCTTTGTATGAATCAAATTAGACTCTAGTTTTGAAACTATTAGTGTAAATTAGTTAGATAAATGAGATTACACCATTTATTTTAGTTGAGATTACACCCTAGTTTCATGTATGTTTCATGTACATGTAGATTTAGATCTAGATCTAGGGTTTGTTTTTTTTAATTTTAATTTTGTAAATTTATGTTTCATGAAATTGGAATAGAGTTTGCATGAAAGGTAGTGGGTAAAATATTAATTGTTGCAAATTGTTGTCTTTTAAATTATTTATTTTAATTAATAAATATATATTTTTAATTATTTATTGATCAATAGGCCATTAATTAATTACCCTCTACCATGGTGTGTGTTTGATATGCTTTATGTAATTTTATTTTATATTTATATTTATATATATCTGAAGTATATAGAATTATTGTCAAGTAATTAATTATTAATTTGATTCCTTTACATATATATCTGAATTAGTAGTCCTTTAATGTATTTTCTTTGTTTGTTGTGTTTTAAAATATGGAGTACAGGAAGTCTTGGATGTATGGTTCGTTAAGGTTCAAGGCAGGTTTCCGTGAAGAGGTGGACAAATTTATTAAAACCGCAGAGAAGCATGCAACGACGTTGACAGAGAAGAAGGATACAATTATTTGTCCCTGCAAAGATTGCAAAAACCTTATGGCATGGACAGATGTGACTATCATCAGAGAACATTTGATTGTGCGAGGATTTATTGAGGACTACACAGTGTGGATTCATCATGGTGAAACAACGGTTGTTGATAATAACGACGATGATGAAGAAGACGACGTCGAAACCCTAGAATACTTGTTCCAATACTCAGAAGAGCTTGATGTACAAATGAATCCTGAGTTTGGTAATGAACAAGGTGGTGATGCTGATGGTTGGGATGGTAACGATGAAGGTGGTGCCAATAATGATGGGGGAGCACGTGTTGGTGATGAAGATGATTTTGATGATTTGGAGAAAATGATTTGGGTCCTTGGACCAGAGATTTTACTAAAAAGCCCGAAAGGTCTAGAAAATTTGGAAAGGGTGACAAAAGCATCGAAGGAGACTGTGTATGGTGTTAAAAAGGGTTGTCCGATACATTAGACATTGCTACGTTTTGTGCTTGAGCTACTCATCCTGAAGGCTAAGTACGGCTGGTCAGACTGTAGTTTCATGATCTATTGCGTCTCCTATCATGGGTGCTGCCACAACTAAACTCAATTCCCGCCAACACATGCCAAGCGAAGAAGGTCATAAGTCCATTGATTATGGGGGTTGAAAAAAATCCTTGCATGCCCCAACCACTGTATCCTTTTTCATGGCGAAACGTTCAAGTCACTGGATAAATGTCCCCGGTGTGGGGCCAGCCGGTATAAGAACAATGACCTTTACTGTGGGGACGAAGCCTCCATGGGGAAAAAGAGGAATAAGAAGGGTACAAAAAAGGTGGTACAAGAATCTCATCCCCTAGAGGACACTCCATTAGGCAATGATGTAAAGCAGAGAAGAATTTCTGTCTTGATAATGTGGTACCTGCCAGTGACCGACCGATTGAGATGTATCTTCCTAAACCCTAAAGAAGCCGCACTCATGACATAGTGGGATGATGAGCGCAAGGTGGATGATAATAAGATTGCACACCCGGCTGATTGTATTCAGTGGCAAAGGATCGATGAGAAGCACAAAGAATTCAGCGATGACCCAAGGAATGTACGGTTTGGCTTGAGCACCGATGGAATGAATCCCTTCAATGAGAGGATGAGCGACCACAACACTTGGCCAGTGATCTTGACCATGTACAACATCCCAATGTGGTTGTGTCAGAAGAGAAAGTACCTTCTCCTCACTATTCTTATTTCTGGTCCTAAACAACCAGGCATTGATATAGACATGTTCCTCGAGCCTTTGATGCAAGAAATGGAGAGGCTATGGAGGCATAGGGAGCCGATGTACGATGCGTTCCAAAAGGAGGACTTCATATGTAGAGCAATAATATTTGTTACTACCAATGATTACCCCATGCTGTTTGCTTTATCTGGACAGATCAAAGGGAAGACGGGATGCTTAGTTTGCTTGGATGGTACTACATGGGTGTTCCTAGATGCATCCAAGAAGATTGTTTACCTAAGGAACCGGCGTTTCTTAAAGACAAGTCACAAGAACCGCAGCAAATTATTCTTTAGATTTTATGACAACACCCTAGAGATTGAACCCCCTCTGGAGAGACGTCATAACGGAGAACACGTGTACAGAATGGTGAAAAACATACGCGTCGTCTATGGAAAGAAGAATTCGGATGGGACGAATAGAGATAGAAGCACACCTCTTGTTGAAGGCGTGCCTTTCAAGAAACAATCGATCTTCTTTCAGTATCTGTCTTATTGGCCAGACTTGGAGGTCCCCCATGCCATTGATGCTATGCACGTGCAGAAGAATGTCTTTGAGAGTCTCATTGCTACCTTGATGGACATAGGCAAGTCAAAGGATGGTCTGAAATCCCGGAAAGACATGGTGCAGCTAAACGTGATGCCACAGCTTCACCCGGTACCTGAGGCTAATGGAAAATACACTCTGCCCATGGCGTGCTTCAACCTAACACCAGAAGAGAAGAGAGCTATATGCACTTTCCT